CCTCTTCTCTGCGGAGAGGCGCCCTTGCCTGACGAAACAAACGAGAATTAAATTCTTATTGTTACTACTAGTAAGGCACTTGTTACTACTAGCGTGGCACTTGTTACTAGTAGCTTCTTGTTACTACTAGTAAGGCACCTGTTACTACTAGTAAGGCACTTGTTACTACCAGTCGTACAGAACCTTCAGAAACTGGAAACCTCACGTGAGGTCCGGCAGATGGAAGCAAAAGCTGTTGCGACATGCTTCTTGGCCTCGTGCAACCCAATACTTCTACCTACTAGTAGATGTACAAAAATAGCTAAAGTAGGCTGCAGGATGCTGCAGATCTGTTTTTTTGCCTTGCATCTTTGCACATGGACTTCGAGCATGCACAGAGTTTCAGTGGCTTCATTGGCCCCGAAATATTGTTCCCATTGACTGGCCTTCCAAGAAGCCCACTCATTCTTATACTAGAGGGCATCCCAAAACCATGTTTGATAGAACTGACACGACCACGGCATGCAAGAACCTAAGGCAAAGAAATCGCCGCTGAAAGAACACATTGTTTTGTTTCATTGAAATACTCAAAGCATCTCAAAGCCTTGCAAAAAAAGAAAAAACACAAATCATTCAAAGCCAATACTTGGTTTTTTTCAGGCTTCGCCTCGTTGGCAAAGTTATTGCCGTTCCACCAGCGATCAAAACATCGAGTGAAGCATCGGCCACAGCGGTCCCAGAAGCCTGACGGCCGACCCGAGAAAAGCCGACATGTCACGTTAGCTCTACAGAAAGAAAACGACACGACGGTTCGGTATTTGTTTTTAATGAATATATTAGACAGAAAGAGCTCAAGGACAAAAAAATACCATAGAAATGCTAATTATGTTTGAAGAGAAGACACTTGGAACACTTTCAATAGCCTTGCATTGTCACTACCGCAACTCTAAATGCTTATTGTGCCAAGAACACCGTTTACCTTTTTTTGCAACACAAACCTCACGGAATCGTCAACTGTTGCCCCTTCATCTTTTCTCTATGCATCAAAGGCAACAAAAAACAATACCTAACCATGTTGAGAACTTTCTTCACATCGAAGCGTTTTGCATGTCTTTGACGATGTCGGTCGCGGGCTTGCCTCGATTGGTCGGATATGCAGCCTGACAGTCGAGGAATGGTCAAACCACAGGGCGGCAGGTTGTCTCAAAGACCAGCCTCTTCCATGTTCAAGGATTCAGGCACGTCCTCCACAGATTCCAGCAAGAAGTAGTGGGTGCCTAGGTGACAAGACACAAAACACCTCCACAATGTCTGCGGGAAAGCTCTCGAATGTACAAGTTTGCAAACCAAGGCCTTTGATCAGTCTTCCTCCCAAAAAACTCTGTGTGGTAACATTTCTTCACACAGCAGACAAGCCCTTAAAGCAAGCGCTCGATGAGAAGGCACTCTAAAAAAGACGGTCCCTGGAGGCGTTTCAAAGAAAACCATTGATCTGGTCCATCCATTTAACCATCGATTCTCTTTAAAGCGACGCAAGACGCGACCCTGCGAAGGGCTATTCATCCCGCTTCACCACCCTTCGCCCTTTAGCGGCCAACGAAACATGGCGGGTGTTGTTGAGATCTTCAAATGAAATCCAGGACGAATCATCGCTATTACGTAGGAGGCCATGGCTATTACGTTGGAGGCCGTTTCTGCGCTCAAGAGATCTCGGGATCTCAGTAGGCTCAAGACCGTGACCTTGTCTCCTGAGCCGTCCTCCTTGTGTGGACGTCGTGGTCACGTTCCCGGTCTCTCGTTTTGACTGTGGTCTCGTGTTGGGATCGATCTCGGGGGAGTTCCGGCACCAAGGATCCCTTCTTTTCGGCCCGATCTATTCTTTTTGCCGGTTGGAAGTTGAAGAAATGACGGTACTTTGAGGTGCTGATACAAGTACGAAGTGGCCGCTTGTGACCCGAAGAGTATCTCGAATCGTGAAGCGAAGAGTGGAAATGGAATTTTGATACTGCCTCTGCAGAGATACTGGGATGTCGTAGCAAGAAGCTACTAGGTTGGAGGCCATTACTACTAGTAGCAAGAAGCTACTAGTATCATGTCTTAAGGCCTCTCCAGAGAGGAAGATGCCACATCGGCGGAAGGCAACGCTATTCGGCCGCTGCATCTGCGGGACAAACTTCAAGCTACGGTAGTGCACGACAGTAGCTAGGTAGCTCCAAGCGGGCATACCTTTTACATCCTTTTACCATCTGGGCTGCCCTAGCTTGCAATACAGTGCGGAATGGAGCGAAGGCAAGAAACACAGCAGGAATCAAATCACTAATGCAGCAAGGTAAACCTTAAGCACAAAGCCACACAGACGCACACAGAGGGGGTTGCAAATCAACATGAACAGCATTTGTAAACTGGAGACTGGAGCAAGATAAAATTCTTGGTCCAGTCGGTCCAGTCCATAATATGCCGTTGAAAGAATAGAGCAACGGGATTCAAAAAGAGTGCAAAGGTCTAAAGAAGAGAAGGAATGAAGAACAACACAGACTTAAAACAAAAAAGAACAGAAAGAAAGGAAAAGAAGACATGTCTTATAAGCTCTTCTGAAGTACCGTAAAACGGCATAATTAACATGATGATAACAGAAACAAAGCTACGAGGCCACGTAACCGGCCCAAAATGCTCAGCCGAGGCGCCGAGATGGATGATCAATGGCCGCATGCGCCGCAGATCTTCGAAGCTGGGTGCCGCCGTGCAGCTGGGCCTTCCCTCGGCCACAGGCTCCTGAGACCGGACGAAGGACATCCGCTTCGCTCACAAGACAGTAGTAACAAAGGGCATCGCTACGTTCGGGGCTCCTGGCCGTACTAACAAGGATGCTATATGCTACTGTGTTAGAAACTCATAATTACAATTAGAAGCTACTAGGCTAGGACTTTTTCGCGCGCAGGTGAGGGGGGTAGGAGCGAAGGACGGACGCTTGTTTGTTCACCAAGGGCATCGCTTTTGTCGCAAGAACGCGACGTTCGGAGGACATCTTCAGACCACAGCTCTGGATATGCAGGAAGCTCAGCAACGCCCGCGTTGGGGGAAACCATAAAACGCTCATAATGTATGCTGCGCAAATGCTACCGTACGGTTTTGGGGGGATAGAACACACCATGAGAAGAAATCAGAAGGTGCGCGATGAGAAGACATCCCGCAGTTTCAGGTGCACGTTCGCGGGCGGCGCGGGCCGTTCAGGTTCAGGGCCATATCGTGGCTGTATCGGGTTGAAAATGCCTTTCATGGCACAGTTCCACCATGTTCCATCCACAACTGCAGACCGGGAGGTGGCACTAGGTTTCAAATCGGCAGAGCTGCCTTGGGTGGGCGCTAGGTTCCTTTGAATTCGCAGCAGTTCCATTGTCTAAACTGCTCTTTCTCTCTTGACACCGGATCTAGCGGTATGATCTACCTCAAGAAAGCCACACACATTGGAAAGTGCGGGGTGCATTCGCAAGCAGAAAGTGGTCCATCATAACCGCGGCCATGTTTTCCGCAAAAGATTGGCTCTTGCTTGTGCTGCTGTTGCATGCTGCGCATTGTACCCGAAATCATGCAACTCACCACAGAACACGTCACATCTCCAGATCACAAACCACACATCAAATCATCACCAACCACATTTCGCAACAAGAAACAAGTGCCACGCTAGTAGTAACACGTGCCACGCCAGTAGTAACAAGTGCCTTACTAGTAGTAACTAGAAGCTACTAGTAACAAGTGCATCGCTTCTAGGTTGGAGTCCATTCTTTGACACGTCCAGCTCTTTCCGGAGACGAAGCGGTCAAGGTCTTCATTTACTTCTATCTTTCGAACTAGGAACAAGAAGCTACTAGGACAAGAAGCTACTAGGGGCTCCTGGCCTCACTACTAGGAACAAAAAGCTACTAGGAGCAAAGGGCATCGCTACGAACGGAGCAAGGACGCTACGTGGGAATTCAGTTTCTGAGGCCATGGGCCGCAGTGATGAGCCGGAAGCCTTGCCTGAATGACTCGATATGGTGCAGTGAGTGACTCGAAGACCTAAGGCCTTAAAGGCTTGATACTACCTAAGACCTAAGGCCTCCAACCTAATAGCGATGGCCTCCAACCTAGAAGCCTTGGTTCTTGTATAAAGAGGCAGTTCTGTTGGTTCTGGTAGGGTTGCTTAATGCCAGCGTAGTGAGGGTGCAATGTCTCTCAAAAGAGCTCTCCTAAGGCCTGAGGTAGTAAACACGAGGTAGCCAGTGGCTACTGCCACGGTCTTCCTGAGAAGCAAACTCATATAGCCTCCAACCAGCCTCTCGCAAGGCTTCAGCCTCAATCTCAAAAGTCTAAGGCGCTGAGCTGCAGAGTCAAATTCCTCTAGAGGCTGGCGTTGTTTGCAAATGTCTTTAAAAAGACAATGATGGGTTCTTTCAAAGTAAGATTGTACAACATATTTGACCTTCTGCAGAATTGTTGTCATGTGCTCTTTTTGATCTAAGTCCATCACCTCCTGTTCTTGGTTGTCAGGCATCGCCTACGCCCCACACTACCCGCACATAAAAAGCTCTCATATGAGCCCTGACGCATAACGCTTCAAACGGGCCGCAAAGAAAAATTAGGTCTTAATGTCACAAAGAAGAAGGTTTTAAACCGCACAGGTGCCTTTCCTTCTTTATGGTTGGAGGCCATCGCTCTTAGGTTGGAGGCCATCGCTCTTAGGTTGGAGGCCATCGCTTTTAGCTTGGAGGCCATTGCCACTAGGTTGGAGGCCATCGCTATTAGGTTGAAGGCCATTGCTATTAGGTTGGAGGCCATCGCTATTCGGTTGGAGGCCATCATCGCTTTTGGATTGGAGGCCATCGCAAGTAGTTAACACACATGTGTCCTTTTTTGCATTTTTTTGGGGGGGAAGTCCGAATTTTTAGACCTCTCTCTATGTTATTTTTGTCTTTTTTCGTTTGATAAGAAGCAAGAAGAACACATCCTTCTTTCTTGAAGGACTTGGGTGTTGGAGCTTCTGCTCAGCACAAGAAATCCTGAGCCATGTCGCAGAGAATGGCCTCCAATGTGGGTACTCCTTCAGCTGCAAGAGCAAGCATGGTGTGGTCCTGGGCACCCAAGGATGTCGATTCTAGACAGATCTAGAAGAAACATGAAGAAACCCGCTGAGACCAGCAGTCGCAGCTTTGGTAAGAGTAAGAGTGACTGCTCTTGCCACAGGGGCCCTGGCTCCAGTCTCTTCTGACGCATGAAAGTCCGGCGTAACCTGAAACACAAAACATGTAGAAAAGAAATTTTGTGCTATGACCACACTTGTCTCATTCAGCTACTTCAATGGCGTCCAGCAAGAGGCAGCCTCCACCACAGGCGTCCAGCTCCCGCACATGCGGGCACACAACAATGAGAGTTCTGCGTGTGTGAGGAAGCAGTTGGTGTCCTGGCTAAAATCAGAAATCTCGTTAAAAGCAAAGAGGTTGGAGGCCATCGCTATTAGGTTGGAGGCTAAAATTGGAATCACAATGAGATGTATCTCTGTATCTCCTGCAGCCCCCTCCGTTGCAACTCGCATGAGACCAGGTCAACGTGATAACCCCGGTACCTGACTGCAAACGAGACTTCGAACAATACAAAGGTTGACGTCTCCAAACGATGGTCAAGACGTCGCCAAGGTCTTTCCGAAACGAACCGTTGGCCACTTCGGCGAATCGTTCACCGGCCTCAAACAGCGTAGTTTGGCATCTGCGATGTTCCACAACCTCTCCCACGCTCGATCCTGCGGCAGGAAAGAGGTCATCAAGCTTTGCTAGCTTCTTGCTCCAAAAAACAGCATTCGTCCTAGAGAAAGAACAGAAAAGGTGAATAGGATTCTGACAGATTCGGAAGGTGTAAAGAAAAGCTGTGCAAACATGCAAAAGAATATATAGAACGGGTGCAGTCTTTGCACACAAAGACATACTTGGTACTTGGATGGTTTGGTCAGCTGATTTTAATGTTGGGAATGCCGCTGATGTAAGTCAAGCTGAAGGCATCAGGAGCATCACAAGCTTAGGTTGGAGCAAAGTTCGAGCTATGTCGTTTTGTTCGGGTCAACATGGTCAACACTAGTTGACAGGAGGCCTATGTTCAGCCTGCGCGAGTTTTTTCACCAGCGCTTGTGGTGCAACTGAAGCGCTTTCGAGGTTCTGAAACCCTAGCAGCAAGGGCATCGCTACTAGGAGCCAAGAATGCTACTAGGGGCACTCCTGGCATTACTACTAAAAACCAGAAGCGATTAGTGTGACGCCAAGACTTAGCCCCCAAGAGCTGTTATACTCGAAATGGTCCTCTGCTGATGGGTGTCGGCCCTGAGCTCGGGCATGACTTGCCAAATGTCGGCAAGAATCCAACTCCATGGTCACCTGGCGAAGGGAGACCTCTGGCTGCATGTCATAGGCTGTCATGTCAGCAAGGCTGAGCATGTCGTCCATCACAAGTGCATGGCAGCAAGTGCAAAAGGCTCATAGTATGGCTAGGAAAATGTATTGGTCTTGATCAGGTATCGCACCTTTTCAAGGGTACGTGGTAAGTCCATACCAAGGAGATAAGCCAAGCACCTGGAAAGCTCAAGACTAAGCAGAAGTCGTCACGGCTGGTTGTTACTCTGAGTGGAACTGAGATCCCTGGCCAAAACCCACAAAAGCCATCATCCTTGCAAGTCGTCCGTAAGAAAGCTAGCAGGCCATTTGGAGGCCATCGCTATTAGGTTGGAGGCCATCGCTACTAGGGTGGAGGCCATCGCTCTGTCCACAAGAAGGCCATAGAGTCTGCATAGGTCTGGCACTGCCAATGTCTTATTCCGTAGCGGGTCCTACGAATGTTTTCAAAACCGGGCTGGTCCTGCACGGCAACAACGCCGCACATGCGTCGAAGCTCCTCACAGCTCGCGGAAGCTTGTTGAAATCTTCCAAACTACAAATAGAAGGTAGTAGAAATGGCCTCCAACCTAATAGCGAACTACAAATAGAAGGCTGGCATCTTGCACACTTGGTTTAAGTCTTGGCCTTCGGTAAGTTTGGTGTATGGCCACTTACAGGCACCGACTTCAACTTCTGTATGGTGCTTCAAGGAAGCTCGCTGTAAGGAATGATTTCTAGATGTTGAGGAAAAAAACATGTTGGCATATTGCGACCTCATGAAACATAGAAACTGTTGAAAAATAGAAGCTTTTGTTTTGTTGGCTTCGTTTCGTTTGTCTGTTTTGGCTTCGAAGTGAAGCAAAAAGCTACTAGGGCTCTGTCCTCAGGCGTTCCGGGCACGGCCACACCACGCTCCACGGCACCAACTGCGCGCAGGAAAACCTGAGCGTCGTAGCGTCTGGAGTAGCGAAAACCCCGACTGGCCGGCGGGTACCGGGTACCGGTAGCAAAGGCGTTAAAGAAAGAAACAAATGACAAAAAAGTAAGACTAAGCAAAGTAATTGAAAAAAAAATAAGAACATCAAGAGGATAGAAAGAATTGAAGAGGAGTTTGATGCGTTTGGTCCAAACCTGTGGAAGTAAGGAGTAGTGAATTCCCTTGGGAAAACTCAAAATGGATTGAACTTGAAGGAAAGGCCTACAGGTCTGACGAAAAGTGGAAAAAGAAACAAGTAGGGGACATCAAGCAAAGGACTAAAGAAAGGAAGAAAAACAAAGCACACAAAATGTGTCTAAAGGTTGTTTTCTAAATCTAATCTAATGAATCATCTGAGAAAAAGGATTGACATTGGTCAGATTTGGAGTCTCAACACAACTGCCCCGAACGGACTGAAGACTCCTCCAACCTACTAGCGATGGCCTCCAACCTAATAGTGATGGCCTCACAGAATCCATACACAATCCATGACTCCTGCAAAGTGTGCTGTTGTGCATTGTCCTTTCGAAATTAGGTTACATTCCAGCACTCACCAGCTGCATGACAGGCACCACTGAGCACGCCAAGACAGACCACACTCAAAAAAACAACTGAAAAGAGAAACAACTATGGGCACGAAACAACTAGTACCGTTTTTGCTCCTAGTAGCGATGCCAGGAGCCCCTAGTAACGTTCTTGCTCCGTTCGTAGCGATGCCCTTGTTCCGTTCGTAGCGTTCTTCTTTCTCAAAATCTTCACCAGGCCTAGAAAAGATGTGTAGTAACAAGTGCCACGCTAGTAGTAACAAGTGCCTTACTAGTAGTAACAAGAAGCTAGTAGTAACAAGTGCCACGAAAGAACCCACCCATGGGACTTTCACGCAAAACCGGGCGCCCATAGCCGCTCCGGTTGGTTTTCTCAGGCACGGACCGCAAAGCCGGCGCGTTCCATCCATTGTCGGGGACTCACCTCGCAGCGTCTGGATTCTGAAAGAACGAACATGTTGTAGAAACTTTTGTATTGGAGTGAGGCACTTGTTACTACTAGCGTGGCACTTGTTCCTAGTAGCTTTTGTATTGGATTGACATCTAAACTTAGATTTTAACTACAAACGAGGGGTAGGCCTTGAGGTAGCAAGACTAAGTTGCTAAGTAAGATGGAGTAAGACTAGCCTCTCTGCTCAGGCTTCGCTTTCCAACTGGTGAAAGTTTAACTCGTGATTCAAGGGATGTATCTTTTGGTAGAGCCAGGTGGTAACTCAGGGTAACCTAATAGCGATGGCCCAATGCTGTGACATCCAAACCCCAAAGAAACGGTGACGGCCATGGCGACCTCTTCTTCGCAGGGCCACGGCGACCCAAAGCGTGGAGCTCGTGGTGGCGGGCGCCTCTCAGTCCTGGAGGCAACATAAGTTCGTGGAGTTCTTTTAAGAAGAAACACGAGATTAAAGGCTTCTAGGGCGCTTGTTCTAGGGCCCTGCCTGTATTTCTTAGAGGTCGCAAGCTTGCAAAATCGATCACTGCACTCTATGGCTTTGAGAGGTTCTACCATTTTAGCTCTCAATAGCCCAAACACTTAGGTGTAGAATTTCGGACAAGTGTACACACTTTGAGGGTGTTCAATCCGATTGGGTGTGGAAATCCGAAGGCCGGGAGTGTCGGCTGATATGCTTTAGTTTGACAAGTGCAACCTCGGCAACGGTATTTCACGGCTCTGGTGGGTTTGCTCACAACTCTACCACGAAACATGTCTGAGGAAAATGTGGACGGACAATGTGAGAAGTCTTGCAAATAATTAGCAGGAGTGTCTACTCACATGGTTGCACTACGCACTACCTCACAAGACTGTTGTGTGCACGTGTATGCCTTGCATATCTGGAGTGCACGACACATTTTACTCTTAAGCCAATCTGCGGCTTGCGGTGTTGAGTCTCGCCCCCCATAGCAGCACAAAGAAGGCTGAAGCCTTGCTGACGCCTTGTGCTTTTGCATTACTCCACCCTTTTACTTTGTACCACTCCTAACTGTCCTAACTCCAAACTCCTAACAGACTGCGACGGCTGCTGCTGCTGGTACGTCGACTACTAGCGTCTTGGCCAAACAAGTAGGAATATGGGGGATGGTGAGCTAGAAACAAAGACATGGCGATGCAAACAACAACAACAACAACAGCTACTACCTCGAATAGTAATAGATAGTAATAGTACTAAAAATGATAATCATAAAGTAATACTATTCCTCCTGTACTCCTCCTCCTCCTCACTACTAATATACTGAGACTACGACTAACTACGACTAATTACTACTGCCCCTATGATGACTATAATTATGACTACTACGACTATAATTATGACTACTACAACTGCTGTTAAACTACAACCACTACTGCAAGAGGCCCTGACTCTCGGCCTGCTGACAAGAACGCTTCTAAAGCGCCTTCCATCTTTAACTTCTTCTGTAATACTCTTGTAAAGGGTTTAAGCCTCAACTTGCTCATCCGGCGGCCGAACGGAACAAGGAAGGCGTTGCCAACGGTCGGTCTGTCGGCTTTCGTCCTGACAAGAGCACCCCAGCACTGGTCGAAGGTGCCCAACATCAATGGGTCGCCTTTGAGAAGCTCCTTCGCCACCTTCGACCCAAATCACCAGTGGCTCGAATGAACAGTTTATACAGATGCTCAAAAAAAGACATTAGAAGGGGAGGACATCAGAACATATCAGAACTGGGCTCTTGCTTGCCTCTTTTGTGCTCTCTTCTCCCATTCACACTTGCATTCTCAAACTGGAACCGACCTCGAGGCGGACCCAGGCCGGATCAGATCCACGTGGCCGATTGCCGGCATCGCCATCCTGCGTTTCGGTCACGGCTACCGGCTGCGAAGCGAAGAAAGAGGTCGTCTTAAGGTCTAAAGAGCCCAATAGCAATGGCCGACCTAAGAGATCTTAAGAGCAATGGCCTCCAACCTAGTAGCTTCTTGCTAGTGGCCTCCAACCTACTAGCAAGGGCCTCCAACCTAAAGAGCGAACCGTCCGACTTGGGGCGTCGTCCGAATTCGACACGTCGTCCTTCTCGCCGAAGGAGCCAACATAAATCCTGAGACAGGCAAATGAGATGAACAAAAAGACATCGTAGGTGACTCCGTGCGAGAGGATGGCGAACAAGGTGTTAGTGAGTTTGAAAAGATACAATCCTTTTCTTTGTTCTTTTGTTTAGCGATGATGGCCTCCTAATAGCGTCAAATCGCTCCGTTCGTACCGATGCCTTTTGTTCCGTTCGTAGCTTCATGCTCCGTTCGTAGTAAGGCCAGGAGCCCCGAACGTAGCGATGCCCTTTGCTTCTAATAGCGATGGCCTCCAACCTACTAGCTGCTTGTTACTACTAGTAAGGCACTTGTTACTACTAGTAAGGCACTTGTTACTAGTAGCGATGCACTTGT